ATGAGGCACCCATTTTCCAAGTTTAGGAACCTTTCCAAGTTGTTGAAGATGACGATGAACAATTGCATGGTTTGAACTGAGAACCACTGCTAATTCCTCAACTGATAAAGCAGGGTTTTCTTCAAGGGCTGCTTTAAGAAGTTTTTCACCAAACTCAACTGAACGTCCGGTTCGATCTTCATCTTCAAGGGTGAAATCTCCACCTCTGAATTTTGCAAACCATCTTCTGCAAGTTCTTTCATTCACACATTCCTCTCCATAAACTGAGTGAATGTTTCTAGCCGCTTCGGCTGCTGAGTTTCCTTTCTTGAACTCATAAAGCATTATGTGCCTCAAATGATTCTTGGGTACTTTCATGTTAGCAGAGTTTTAATCAAACAAAATTTTAATTTTATTGTTCTCTGAAATAAAATTTGATCAGTTTAAATGCATCTAAACATAAAAATAATGTTCAGCTCCATTAGACATTATAAAATACTCTTTAAATTTCGTTCATTTTAACAAAAAGTTAAAATTCGGACAGAACTTATGGGATGACCTGATAGATTATTTTCCTTTTTAGTTTAATGATTAGGGTTTCCCAGAAATCTTGTCTCGAGCCCATCTTTGACTAAATTTCATGATCAAGATTTTTCAGGAATCCTGTCGCCAACCCATTTTGCATCGTCAAACATAAAGTCTTGTTAGTTATTTTAGATATTGTAAAAGTAGAGTCTTTTGAAGAAACCGGCCACCCAAAAGCTGTTTGGGTGGTCCTTCTTTCCGGTTGGTGGAACACAAATAGACGGAAAGGGGTAGTGGGTCCCCTAACCAGTATCCATATGATAAGTGGTCAGTGAAAGAACCAGCAGTCAGTGAAACGGACAGCAGTCAGTGAAAGGGCAAGCAGTGAGTCAAACCGTCAGAGAGGCGGTCAGACAGTGAGTTGTAGGGTCTGTTTTCCGTCGCTGATTTTTTTTTATGCACTTCACCCCTAGCAAGGCGGGAAGCCACTAGTACGCAAGGAGTTATAGAGGATTTGGAGCGAGAGCAGATAGGAATGATAGAGGAGAGGATGAGGAGAAGATTAGTGGATAGATCAAGGCAACTGTAGATGTCGATTGACATTACATTTGAATAGTTGGAGATTATAGCCATCAGGGAAACAGAAATAGGGAAGGGAGTTCCACAGGCGAGAGGTGCGAGACATTAAGCTATTGGAGTAGAAGAGGCGGCTACATTTAACAGTTTCAACAGTGAAAGGGTGAGAGCGGGATGCCAGCCTCGTAGGGCGCTTGAATTCGTGAAGTCTAGGAACCAGCGAAAGCAACTCATCGGAGCAATTACCATGAAAGTATTTGTAAAAAAAAGACAGAGAGAGGCGACGGAATGTATCAAAAAAAATATATGAATAATACAATCCCCACCAAAAAAAACAGACCCCCTCCCCACAAAAAAAATTAAGTGAGTAATTTTCTTTTTTGGGGTTTTTTTTTTTTTTTTTGTAGGTGGTGTCTTATTTTTTTATTTTTTTTTTTTTTACATTCCGGCCAGACAAGTGTCTTCTGAAGCATTTATCGTTATTCTTTGTTGACGTTGATCACGGCCCTAATATTAAGCCCAATCTATGGAACATAGTGAGTGCTGCTTTATTCACATACATGGGATGTCATCACAGCTAGTGCGCGTGACGTGCAGAATCATATTGGCATAGAGCTATTTAACATCACATTTCGAATGATCTTCCATATTTTATATTTTCTGCTCGGAGGAATAAAAAGAACAGATCACAGAATGGATATGCATAGACGTCGTCTAAAACTAGTTTCAGACCGTGGAATATAAATTTCATCTTAATGTTGTCTTTATAAATATCTAGCCATTCTAATAAATCTATTCACAAGTTTTTGTTCAGAATGTCTATCTTTATTATTTGTAATTTAAAAGTAGAATAAAGATTTCATTGCATGTATATGTTTTTTGATTTTATATTTGGTGTAGGGTTGGACATCTGTTCCCTGTTTCTTTCGTGTTTTTTGCGTGTTTATATATCTAAATATGTCTACGTGTTTGTGTATTATATTCTGATTGTGTATGTATTGTCTTTTGTAAGATTTCATCCTGCCCATATCACCACTTCAAATGTATCTAAGTTGTAACGAAGCTCAGAGCAACATTAGATTTTAACGTTTAATCTGAGTTTTTCGCCTTTCAATTAAAACAAAATAAATAACAAAATATATGTATTTTTCCTCAGTTTATTTTATAATATTTTAAGCTTAATACAGATTAAATTTAAAATTAGTAACTTTTAATTTTCTATTTTATAGTAAAATTTAATATTAATTAATTAGAATGATTTCTATTTTAGTCTAACCCTAAAATCAAGACATTAATTATTATAAACAAGGTTCGTTGTCAAGTTTTTTGACATCTCGTATACTTGTTTTGACATCTCGTATACTTGTAATTTGATTGGTCATTCCAGCTTATGTAACATCGTTTCCCCTAGCAAAGGGTGTTTGCTTGATTTGAACCTTTTAAAACCATTTATTCTACATTCGGTATCTAGCCACCCCTCACGAGGGTTGCATGTGGCACAAGGCCGAGTTTATCGTGGGTTTCCCGAGCCCGTAGGCTCAGCCAAAAAATGCTCGTATAACCCGTATAAACGAGATCGGGTAGGTCATTCTCCCCGAACGAGATTCTGCCC